ACAAAAGTGGTGATGCAGCATCCATAGAGTCAGTGGTCTGAATCAGAGTCGTTATTTGACCAGTCAGTGTTGTCGTCCATAGTGTCACAATGCTAGTGTGGCTAAAATCCAATGATACTCTTTAGTGATCAACTGATATGCACTTTTCAGTGGCTGAAGCTGATCTTTAGAGACCAAGGAGGCTGATGGCCAATGTAAAATGCCAATATGTTATTTTTGTGTTTTGCTTTTTGCCCTTTTTGCATCAAATCAAATACAGCAATTTAACAGCAAATGAGACACATTCTGAATCTAATATTTAGGTTAATCAAAAACACTACACTGTTTAAAAGAAAAACCTGACAATGCTACCTGCAGATGTCTGCAGACATCTTTTGTTAATTGGCCTTGTGAGCGCAGACATCTACTCATGCCGAGTATCTAAAAATATTGGCCTAATCATTCAGTCTGTCACTAATACCAGCCTTGCTTTTATTAACTACTGTAATATTTTCAAATTGCATTCTCAATCTGTATAGACAGGGAGTGCTGGTTGAGCTTTTCCTCACTAATACCATTATTTATTTGATGGGTAGAACATACTGTGTAGATGTTTTGAATTAGAAATGATGGACACAACAATTACTAAGATGAGGCTTTAAAAACAGGCATTTAACAGTTGATCCATTTATCAGACACAAGTCTGCGGTTCATATTAAAGAACTATAAATCCACTCATTATGTGTTTACTTGTTCTTAGTATTGTTTAAGTTCAGAGTGTTCCTCCAAATCACTGATCAGATCTGAGTCTGTGGATTATCAATCAGGGAGCAAACACACAGACGTTCCTGTCCTCCTCGTGGAGATGCAGCTCGTATGCCAGTCAGCCAGAGGAATCCTCAGGCTTGCGGTTGAGACGAGGGGGAAGAGGAGCAGACTTGGCAGATCAAGAGGTTTCAGGCTTGGAGCACTAGCTGCATTCCTCCATGTCTCTCTGTCTTCCTTTGCTGATGCCTCTTTCTCTATCCTTCTCTGTGTGTCTCTTTCTCTCTTTCCCCTATCCATCTCTATTTTATATTCCTTAAGCGCCAGTGAGGTTGTCAGACAGGATCGTTGATGTTTCCCTCATGCCCTGGCCTCAATTGCAGCAAAATGTTTGCTTGGTCTGACCAAGCTGTCTGTCTGCAGTGTCCCCATTACTCATTTTTCTTCTCCATACAGATTCTAACAGTAATAATTTCATCTGCCTTATTTTGGTTTTTGAGTAATGGTATTGCATCTTCAGTCCCTGCATCAGTCATCAGTGGTGTTTCTTTTGTTTGATTTAAAGCACATTTCAGTTCCTTAAGGCTGTCTTTTTTGTTTTCATAGTAGTCATAAGTTGGATTTCTTTGAGACAAAATGAGAATGAATAGTCTTTGGGTTGGCTTTTTGCCTATTATTTCTAGCTGAACAGAAATGGAGTTAACTTGGGAGAGAGAATGTGACCATCGAAAGCTCTTAGCAAATGTAGCCTACGGAGAAATTAAATATAATACCCTTTTCCTGTTCCTTCCTTATTCATTAGTGTTTCTACAGTAATAGAGGTGCAGGCTCAAAAACAGATAAAAATCTCTGGTAATTACTTCTGAGTCATACTCTGTTATCTGAAAGTTGGCCCTCTAGTTATTTTTGTTGGCATGGCGAGACATAAAGAGATGCATACTGCACATGCAGCTAGATGTAGAGGGAGACAAACACATCCTCACCTCTGAGAGATGTAGCCAACGCTGACAGATGCCCAAAGCAGAGGAAGAAACAGGGATTCTCACAGTCATTAACATATTAACATTGGTAAGGGAATACAACAGCCTCGTCTGAAAGTGCACTGGTTGTAGTACAGTGCACTGGGAAACAGGCCTCTGGCTTTTATAATTTACACTTTGTCATGTTACAGTAAATTCAGTTACACATGCAGCTATGGTTTTCTGAATTGACTGTTCACAAACAATAACAGTGGTTATCCAGTCATAGCTTAGCAAATGTAAGTAATCATGGCAAGCATTAGATTTCTCCACATGCTGAGGTGATGTGCATGAGGCTGTAGTAAGAGCAATATTCTTCATTTCAACAGCCTGGCAGGTGGTTTATCACTTTCCACAACCAAAAACCAAGACCAGACATGTAGAGAATTGGTTAAGCCTTATTTATTAGCTCTAATTTAAAGAGCCAGTGGCATCCATCCATCTTCCTCCACTTATCCGGAACCAGGTCGCGGGGCAGCAGTCTAAGCAAAGATGCCCATACGTTTGGGTTTGCTGAGTCTGTCCAGGTTCCTCCCCCACCATTGGATCCAACTCACCACCCCAAGTGGTGATCATTTGACAGCTTCACCCCTCTCTTCATCCGAGTGTCCAAGACGTATGGCCAGAGGTCAGATGAAACAACCACAAAGTCGATTGACCTCTGGCCTAGGGTGTCCTGGTGCCACATGCACTGATGGACACCCTTATGCTTGAACATGGTGTTTGTTATGGACAAACTGTGACTAACACAGAAGTCCAATAATAAAACACCACTCGGGTTCAGATCGGGGGGGGACGTTCCTCCAAATCACACCCCTCCAGGTGTCACTGTTGCCACCCACGTGAGCGTTGAAGTCCCCCAGTAGAACAGAGTCCCCAGTCGGAGCGTTTTCCACCACCCTTCCCAGGAACTCCAAGAAGGCCGGTTACTCTACACTGCCATTTGGCCCATAGGCACAAACGACAGTGAGAGACCTGGATGACCTGTAACTTCTTACTTCTAAACTCTGACAAAACTGAAGTCATTGTGCTTGGGCCTAAAATCCTTAGAAATCTGCCGTCTAATCATATAGTTACTTTAGATGACATAGCTCTGGCCTCCAGTACTACTGTGAGGAACCATGAAGTCATTTTTAAAGTCTTTTTAAGTGTGAAGTCCTTTAAATCACACATAAACCAAGTCTCTAGAACTGCCTTCTTTCACCTGCGCAATATTGCAAAAATCAGGATCATCCTGTCTCAAAGTGATGCTGAAAAACTTGTCTATGCATTTGTTACTCCCAAGCTGGACTACTGTAACTCTTTACTATTAGGATGTCCCTAAAAAGCCTCCAGTTAATCCAAAATGCTGCAGCCAGAGTACTGACAGGAACTAGCAAGAGAGATCATATCTCTCCCATATTAGCTTCTCTCCACTGGCTCCCTGTAAAATTCAGAATAGAATTATGGGAGGCAGAGCCTTTAGCTATCAAGCTCCTCTCCTATGGAACCAACTCCCAGTCTCAGTTCAGGAGGCGGACACCCTCTCTACCTTTAAGATTAGACTTAAGACTTTCCTTTTTGATAAAGCTTATAGTTAGGGCTGGATCAGGTGACCCTGAGCCTTATTATCATTACTATTATTATTATTATCTTAGTTACTATTGGCCTAGGCTACTGGGGGGCCCCATGATGCTCTGAGTTTCTCCGCCCTTCGGAGGTCTGGTGTTTTGTAATGAAGAAACATCACCCAGTGCAGTGTGTTTCATAAGTGAATAAAATAATCCAGGTTGGAGACCGACAGACATTAACTTTGAGTAGAGGCAGTTCCTTGTTGGTTTTAGTCTGTAGTTAGCTAAGGCACTTGCAAACATACCAAGATGTTTTCTGCACACAGACATGTATATCAGGATCCCTGTTGATCATGCTAATTTCACATCATATCCAATTTGTTGTCTTAAAGCTGTGGTGTTTGTTGTTTGATATGATCGAGTCACTGATTGTACATGGTTTTGAGTCACAGCCTATTAGGTTGTACTATTTAGTTTTATCCTAATTACTTTCACTTGGTTTTCTTATTCTATTTTTATTCTACTTTTATTCTATTTTAGTTTCTTAAATGGTATGGGCAATCAGTATTAAGTGAGACAGAAACGGTATTTTGATTCTTCTGTATGTCCTGCACATATAGTGAATTGACAGTAAAAATCTTTGATCCTTGATCCTTGATGCCTTTTAAAACACTAATTCTGGATACTTTGTTTTCTTGGTTGTACATCCTGTCACACATCAGCTTTTAGGCATTTTTCTTTTTTTTGTAAAAAGACACCTTCACTCAATACAAGGTCAACAGAGTCCAAAGACATGCAGCTTAGGTTGACTGGTGTCTCTAAATTGCCCATAGGAGTGTGTGCGTGTGTGTGGTTGTTCGTCTATGTGTTAGCCCCCATGACCCCGTTCAGGGACTAAGCGGTAGAAAATGAATGAATGAATGAATGAATGAATGAACCGTTTTCCTCCCTGGTGGGTGTGGTTTTCAGAGTATGACACATTGCGCTCTGTCTCTATAGTAGTAAACCTTTAAGTCTGGTAATAGTCTAATTTTCTTTTGCCAAGAAATCTCACAAAAAGATGACTTTATCCTACAATGGAGTCCTAGCTCTGTATCCACAGTCTGATAAACTTCCTTCCTCTGTGCCGTAGAGCTCCATTGTTGTCCAAAACATATTAAAAACACATCACTGGGCCACACCTATTTATAATTTGTGTTTCCTCTCTGGTAGACAAAGACACTATCTGGTATAGTTTTTGTGTGGGCAAAAATGCTTTTTATGCCTCCAGCTGCAGCAGAGGCATTATGTTTTTGGGTAGTCTGTTCATCCTTCTGGCAAATATACAGTATGTCAGGAACACCTTGAGGGAATTTTTTTCTAATTTGTCACAAATGTCCACTTGTAATCAAGGATGAACTGATTAAATTTTGGTGGTCAAAGGTTAAGGTCGGTCACCTTGTGGCTGTTCCATTTCCATGAAATTGACTGGTTGGCAGAGGTATACAGTCACAAAGCGGAAATTTTACTTGTTTTTGTTTTGATTTTTAGTTTTTTGACAAAAGCATAAGGTGTTACATGTTTTTGTTTTAAACATACTTTCTCGGCTTTCCTGTGGCTATATTTTATCTTACACCAAAATAAAATGAAAGTCTGTCAGTGACCTTGAAAATGTCTACTTAACCTGTGAATCGTTTTGTTTGTGAAGGACTACCCCAGGAACAGACACCCGGGATGGAGCCGAGGGTCAGTGGCCTACCATGCAGGTGAGATTTCAGCCCTGTTTCTCTTTTCACTCTCTCTCACTCTGTTCTATTTCTCGGGGAGGACGTAGTGGTTTTTTTAATGCTTGTGGAATTCCCCTGTATTCTTGTTTGAGTGAAATCAATGAATCTGATATGCTGCCTTTAGATGCAAGCATCCACAGGGCATAGACTCAACTGGATGTTAAGGAGCCTTGCACAAAGAGATGAGGAGGATTGTAGGCAGATCAGGAGCACAGAGGGCAGATAAAGCAGAAAGTGATAACATCAGAAGGAGAAGGATCGTATCTTTATCTTTCTGTCTCTGTCTGTAGGAGTTTGGTCATATAAATCTCTCTAATAATAATAATCTTTCTAAACTGAGTTTAGTCGGTTATCTTTATCTTCACTTGTTTGTGACGACAGGCCTGTGAACACTATCTGCACAAACCCACTCCAGACATTGGCACCCCTCAATATCAGTGCCTAGAGATTAGCTGTCAGGTGCTGCCTATGATATGAGAATAGCGGCAGCTACAGTAGGTATTTGTTTATTACACCATACAAGCTACAGTACAGGGCAGTGGGTAGCTGACAGTTCTGTCAAGATGCTGTTAGTCCCTATCTCAACAGTGAGGGTAGAGGGCATGCTGGCATTTATCAACGTTATTTTCATCTGAAGCATCCCATTGTTAATCCTGCTCACAGGGATTTTACTTTGAATGATTCACGACACAAATATCATTTTCTATACTTTTCTACCAAGATGTGCATTATTTTATTTTTAGAAGAACCTCTCTTCCAGCTATCGCAACACATTTTCTTGTTCTCTCTGCACATTCCATTCATGCTTTGACTTAATATTTATCGTTCTAAACCCCGGCGTCCCTTTGTCGATTCCATTTATACTTAAGATACATTAATAATAATAACAGTTGATGCTTTGTGTCCTGCCAGGGTCTGTGGATGGTAACTTTGCTGAGTGACACATAGGGCCAGTCATTCAGAGGCTCACCATACCAGTCCCAGAGCTCTGGTGCTGTGGTCTTCCTGGTTTGGCTGCTATGTATTGGACACCACAGAAATGTGTGCGCCCCAGCACAGCTCCCATTAATCTTATTTGGTAGAGACTAAAATGATGTATGTGGTTTTCCATGCTGTGTGTATGAGGTTTGCCTTCCCATGCTTGGGCTAAGGTGCAGGCTCTGATCCAGCTATTTAAAATCAACATCCAGAGCGTCTTCTTCATGTCCCCCGTCACTTCCTCACACATTTCAGATTTACACTGACCAGATAAGAAACCTCAAGAATTGCATGCTCTTTGGCAGGATGACAGAAATGTTATGTATACTCATTATATACACAAGGTCATATGATCACAGCAATTGTTTTAAGAGAGAATGACTTTAGCTTTGTTACCTTGGTTTTCCTGCTTGGCATGAGAATGCTGTGAAGACATGTTCATACCTTTGTTTAACTTTTGTGCTTCACTTTTGTATTTGACCTCCATAAATATCTGCCAGGATGTCCTTGATATGTCTTAGCCTCATATAGACTGTTGAAAGTCATCATCACCACGAGTGGCTGTAATGGTTTGCCATTACCCTTTGAGAATACAGTGGCAATAGTTATTTTTTAATTACATTATGCAGCCTTTTCATAGTTGTATTTTGCCTCTGCAGTTTGACTACTGAGCTCAGTTCTGATCATATTTGATGTGTTTTATTGACCTTTATGGTTGTTACTTTAGCCCCAGATATATTCCAGCCATTTCCACAAGTGCTTGTTAACTACACCGATCAGGCATAACATTCTGACCACTGGCAGGTGAAGTGAATAACACTGACTGTTACAGTGGCACCTGTCAACATGTGGGGTATATTAGGCAGCAGGTAAACATTTAGTCCTCAAAGTTAGAAGCAGGAAAAACAGCCATGCACAAGGGGTGGGTGTTGGTCTGCAGTGGTTAGTACCTACCAACAGTGTCTAAGGAAGGACAAATGGTGAACTGGAGACAGGGTCATGGACGCCCACGGCTCACTGATGATGAGGTTGACCTACTGTAGATGAAACTTTTAACTTCCATTTGTATTAAAATGGATTTGAATCTTTGTTAAAAATGAGAAATACTGTACATTGGTCTCTATGAAGAGAAAGAGTCAGGGGCTGTAGTGGTGATATCACACCTAGAGTGGTGAGGCTGTTGGATTTGTCTCAACAGTTCTCTCTAACTCGTCCTCACGACTAGTTTTCACTCTTTTTACATAAGTTTTTCACTGAATTGTAGACACATGCATGCTCTTCCTGACAGTAGAACTGTGGAAGCAAATGGATTCATAGAAGATGCACAGTGAGCTGCAGAGAGACACGAGTGCCAACCAACCGCCACATTGACTCCTATGTAAACAGTATTAGGCAGGTGGTCACAATGTTATGGCTGATCGGTGTATGTCACTGATCCTTTCGTGTAGTTTGTGAGTTGTTTTTTTTTACCTACACTGTTGTTACTACCAGTGTTTGTATTGGGAACTGGCCCAGTGCAGATCTGCATCCTGTGTGTTGGCTCACATTGGCTCCATAAGTCAATGGGCCATGGGGTACTGTGGGCTCTTGTTGGCACTTGTAGGTCCTGTCAGGAGCAACCAGCCATCCAAGTAGTGAGTGCTCCTCAGTAAGCCTCATCAGCCCTGTCACACCCTACAAACCCCCCATCAGTGACTCACTATGACTCAAGACCCGCAGTAGAAGTTTGTGCCCTACCACCACCGCCACCATCCATCTCTCACCATCTACCCAACTGAAAATAATAGGGCTCAGTCTAACTTCTGTGCTGTAATCAGTGACTGGGTCTAATCTGATTCCAGCTCAGGTTTGTCAAAAACAATTATTCAATAGTAAAATGTTGTGCAGGGGGATAATATCTTCTTCTTACCAAATGGGATAAGAATGGGTTTGGATGACATCATCTCAGTAGCACAAAGAGTCTGGTGATTGCATTAACCACTAGAGGAACTGAGCATGCACCCACATCGTTTGTGTCCACACTGTGGATGTCACCAAATGACTAAAGGAATTAGGGCTGCACCTTGCTATTATTTTCATCATAGATTACTATACTAAATACTAAAATTGCCCAATCAGTCAGAAACTTAAAGTTATATTTACTGTCACAGAAAATGGAGAAATGCTGTAACTATTCACACTAGAGATGTTTGAGCCTGAAATTATTTGGTAACTTTGCGTGATTTTTTTTTTTTTTTTTTTTTTTTTTTTTTTTTTGGTTAATCTTTTTTTGGTAGGTTCTCTGAGAGGCTACCTCTCTTTTTGCAGGAAGGCCCTCATCACATTCAGCTTGTGAGTAGAAGGTCACAAGCTCACTTCTCTAACCTTTAGAAGGTATTCCAATGAATTTAAACTCATCCAGAGCTAATTTGAAGGGTGCAACTCAGGGTGGAGGGGCACTCACTTTTATATTAATAGGAAGGAGTTCACTTTTATTGATAATGAGTTTATAGCCAGATATCTTGCCAAGATGTTTAATGCAGGTTGTTTAATCCTAGGCAAAGATGCAGCAGCCTGATCAGTGTTTGATTGTTTGTTGTGTCTTGTTGCTTCTCTTTTCTTTTCTCTCTCCTCTATCCACTCACCCCAACCAGTCGAGGCAGAAGGCCGCCCACCAAGAGCCGGGGTCTGTCAGAGGTTTCTTCTGTTAAAGGGACTTTTCCTCCCCGCTTTCGCCAAGTGCTGCTCAAGGGGGATTTGTTGGGTTTTCTCTATAATAATAATTTTTAAGATTTTTAATAAGATTTTAAGATTGACATTCCCCTGGTGGCAGGATGAAGAAACAACACATTGTTAGATCAGAACCCCTTCACACCCACCGCCTCACTTTTACACAGATGCCAAGTCGTCATAGATAGGCATTTTTACCACCTCCTCTGCTGGCATAACGCAGGGTAATGGCCTCACATCGTGGGTTTGTACCTTCTGTACAGAACAGCAGGGTGGCAAAATGCTGCCCTAATCCCACCTGGAATAGGCAGTGTACAAAGGGCTAGAGTCGACTAGCTCCATTCTTAAGCACAGACCTGGACTTCCACACCCCAGCTCACCTCCAGCGCCAGGCCTCGTCACTCTCCAAAACCCTGCCCTACTATTTTTAGTCTCATTGCGCCTGTGCCGGTGTGGCTCCACTGTTTGCCTAGTGTATGGTGTTGTGACAAGGGCCCACATGGGAGCTGTAATGATACAGTGTCTCCGTCTCTCTTGTGGTGCTCAGATAGAGATTGTTTAAACAGTATCCTGAGCCTGGGACGGGTCCCATGACAACTCCATAAATATTTACCAGCAGCAGCCATGCTGCTTCGCTTGAGAAAGCTTGTCTGCAGGCTACCTCTTCAGTGTTTTTCTTTTACCCTTTTTTTTCCCTGTTGTTGTCTCTCACAACTGTCAAAAGTGTTGTTTTGTGTTTTGGTGATTTCCTTTTCATATCTTTTATTTTTTATTTTTTATTTTTTTGCAAGTGTTTTTTCTAGTGTTGCTTTCACCTTTACACATCATCATCTGACTGGAATGTCAGGATGTCCTGTATCTTAGCACCCTGAATTGTACATACATGTTGCACACTGTGGTAAACACATTAAAAGTCCAGTAAGTCAAGTTCAGCAACAGGGCATGTAACACAAGGACAAAAATGACCTCACACAGTGTATGTGAATTAAGTTTTTAAGATCTTCTCACATCAGAAAATTGACTTGGAAATTACTAATTTAATTTACAGACATCTTCAATATTGTCTCTTGCCTGTGACTGACAGTAATAGATCAAATAGGGCAAATGTTTCTGTCTCTGATTTCAGGCTGTCAAGAAATAATACAGGCAAAAGTGGGATTGTTTTTACAGTGGATTGTGATTAGCTATACATGTCAAAATTTGTACAAGAGTAAATGATGACAAGTTGCAAGTCGTTGCTTGTATGTTGGTGAGTTGGTCACCACGCCTGCAGCCAGCACTGCTGCTGTAGCTACAGTAGCTTGGAAGCTCCGTGTCTCAATGAGCAAGTGTTGATTTTGAATGAATTATTTTAATTGGTTAAGCATCAGTCCATTTTCTTCCATTTATCTGGTACAGGCTGCATCGGTGTATCGTGTCATATCATATATAAATTATTGTTCTACATATATTGCTGGCAAGTACTGAATACTGCTATATATTAATAACTATTATAACAGGTAATGCCATTCTATGTGGCATTAAAAAGTAACTTGGTGAATCATGCTGAACCTCTGCTCTCACAGGTTGATAGACCCAAATCCATTCTTAAGGAATGAATTAACTAATACTTATACTCCTCCTCTCTGGCAGATGATGGGAAGCTCTTTCACGGCAGTGGTGTTGGAGATCCCTTTGGTCCTCAGTGCGTCAAAGGCGACATCATGGGCTGTGGCATCATGTTCCCACGAGACTACATCTTGGACGAAGAAGGTGAGGGCGGAGGGTTCAGGTGGGACAATTACTGTCACTTATTAAAGCGGTTTGTGTGTCTGTGGGAGGTCCAACTCTTAAATGTATTTATTGTGGTTTAGCATAAGTCAGTTGTAGCAACATTCGGTCTTAACAGAGTTAATTTGGTTCCATGTGGTAAAGAAACGCTATGTGAACCAAGGTCCCCTGTGTGGAAGACAGAATAGTGCAGAAATTTTATATCCCTTCTTTCCTTGAGAGACAAATACAGGCTTTCTTGCTATCAGGCGGTTTCAGTACATCAGTTTCAAATGACCAAACATGTAATAACAATTTACAGACAGCAGCTAATGTTCTCTAACACTTATTAGAGCTAACCAACAAAAATAAACCCTCAGTTTGTATCATCCCTGGGACATGTTTTGCTGTCCTACTGCTCTCTGCTCTGTTTCCTCATCTGTTATTTTATCGGCCAGTTAAACTCTGGCTCAGTGTCTGCTCTGTTTGCTCTTGAATACCTTTTTTAAAGCACACTGTGCTCTGTGTTGTCCCCAGGAGACATGGATGACTGGGATCGACTGGAGGTCTGTTCGGATCATGCATGCGTCCAGAACGTCCTGTACCTCAATAACGAAGAGGAGGAAGAGGAAGATGGGGAAGAGGTCGAGCAGGGACAAGAGGGGAGGAAGGTCATGGTGAGGAATACTCAAACAGAACACAGCTTATTTAAGGTTTGCTACACATCAGAGATGGGGACTCGAGTTTGTAACGTGAGCCCCTTTTTACACAGACATCATGGAAAATTGCCAGCATTTTGACCCTCCTTCAAGGTGGCCTTTTTGATTTAAGCCTGTTTACACTGAGCTTAAAAATGCCAGCAAAATGCTGCTTCTGTGTTTGTTTTACATAGCTGCTGGAATCCGGGTACTAAAGGCGTGATGTTCCCCATGACCTCCGACGGGCCGTGTATTTCACTGCCAATTTGAAAATTAAACAAACGGGCTGTTACCTGACTTTGTTTGACATATTAATAAATGGAAATTGGGAATTATAGTGGCCATACATGCATCCAGTTTCCAGTCTCTGTGTGTGTCTGAACCCCCCCCCAGAAGCGTGCATTTTGGCTGCGTTCACACAAACTCCTTCCCACAGGGTTGTGCAGGGGTGTAGCTGTGTTTATTCGTGCTTTAGAACATTAGCACAGTGAAGCAGTTACAAAGTAATACTTTGATTCTCTGCTTCACCTTGTTCTCGTTGACACTGTGCTCTCTCTTCTCTTTTAATCTTTAACTCTAACTTTAAATTGAGCCACCATGTTAATTAACATGAGCTACAGGCAGGTTACTGTTGACCATGTAACGTTACAGGCTTGTTAGGCTACCATTACACTGGGCTTGAGAGGCTACAGCAATGGGATAATTTACAGTAGACTATAAGCCATCAGTAGTTGGCGACCCGGTCTAATTACACGATATGACTGTACTCTTTAATGCTATTGAAAAATAGGTTTCAGTTGTTATTCCATACCAGTGATGTTAGCAGTACTTTCCTCTTACCCTGAGTAAACATCAATATCAATTTATATATATATATAATATAGCAAACATCTAATCAATGCTGATACGGTATGCCAATAGTATAGGTAATGGAGAGATGAGAGTGATGATAATGTAGTATAGGGATTGAATTCCCTAGTATAGCAGTGCAGTGTTCTAAGCAGTCTGGATGGCACGCTGCAAATGATACTCATTACAACCATAAGGGACTTGACATAGACTTGCAAAAAAAAAAAACAACAACTTGTGAGCATCTCTGCTACGCATAAGTGTAAATTACATGTTATCAATATATTTACATCTCCACTTAGGGCAGTGTAGCAAACTCAAGCAAGCACTTCCTGTAGCTGTGAATTAGAACCTGCTCAACATTCAGGAGGAGTTTTGGACCACTCTTCCTACAGAACTGCTTCAGCTCAACCATGTTCTTAGGGGGTCTGGTGTGAACTACAGGTCATTCCACAGCGTCTCTATTGGTTTCAGGTCTGGGATCTGACTGGGCCATTCCAAAAGGCAGAGTTTGTGTTTCTGAAGCCATGCTGTAGTAGATTTACTGGTAACGCTTTATCAGGTCATGGGTTACAGCGTACATAGCCCACGTTTAGAGCCTAATCCCATGTAATAATGGTGTATCTGTACAATATATTCCAATACATACATGGAAGTCCAGGAGACCAACATGCAACATTTGAGGAATAATAGGAAAACAACCCACGGAGTTGAAATGTAATTATACTGCAAGTGTTTTCTAAGTACAGAGTATCTATTCTAAAATTGAGTGTTTATTTTGAACAAAGAATAACATTGATGAGGTATCACATTAAATGTGCTGCTGGATTGTTTTCAATGTAACACAGGGCACAGATGATTTACACATTGCTAGTTTCAGTTTTAATTTTGATTTTACACACCCTCAACTTTTTTTTAATTGGGGTTGTACAAGTGCAACAAAAATAGTAACAGTGCTGAAAAATAATAAAATAAAAAAAAACTGGATAACTAGATTTGGAAAAGGATCACCCCCCCTGTGTTAATACTTAGTGGAGCCACCTTTTGCTTTAATTACAGCCTTGAGTCTGTTTGGATACTTCTCTGCTGACTTGGCTCACCTAGACTGAGCAGTGTTTGGCCTCTCTTCCTTCGGCGTTCACCTTTTTCTCCTTCAGCCACCGTATTTGGCTTCGGGTTGTTCTCACGTTGAAAGGTGAACCTTCTTCCCATCTTCAGATTTCTGGCAGAGGGCAGCAGGTTTTCCTCAAGAATCTGATGGTACTTTGCTTCATCCATCTTCCCTTCTATCCTGACAGATGCTCCAATCCCTGCTGAAGAGAACCCACAGTAGGATGCTACCACCTGAGGTGGCCACTTTTGGTCTCATCGACCATAGCACCTTTTTCCATTTGGCCTCAGAATCTTCTGGGTGCCCTTTGGCAAAGCTTAAACCATGGATGACAGGTGAAGTTCACAGACGCTTGAGAGCTCAGGGTGCAGCCTTTAGGGCCGGTGACACCGCAGGCCTAGCAACAGCAAGAGTCAACCTGTCCCGTGGAATCAAGGAGGCAAAACGCCAATACAGCAAGAAAATACAGTACAATACAGCAACACTAGAGGTGCACAGAGTCTCTGGAGGGGCATCCAAACCCTCACAGGCTATAAACCCCCACCATAGTAACATCTTTCTGCTGAACAGCCTCAATGACTTCTTTGGCTGCTTTGAAACACAGAACAACACACCAGCACAGAAGCAATGGGCTCAGCACAGGGCCTCCGCAGGGGTGTGTGCTCAGCCCATTGCTCTTCACACTGCTGACCCACAACTGTGTGCCAACCTACAGCACCAACCACATTGTCAAGTTTGTGGATGACACAACTATAGTTGGCGTCATTACCAACAATGATGAGGCCAAATACAGGAGTGAGGTGTGCCAACTGGAACAGTGGTTTAAGGACAACAACCTCTTCCTCAATGTGGGGAAGACTAAAGAGATCTAAAGCATCCACCACTGACCATTGACGGTGCTGTAGTGGAGAGAGTGAGCAGCACCAAGTTCCTGGAGGGCACATCTCTGAGGACCTCTCCTGGACCATCAACACCACATCACTGGCCAAGAAAGCTCAAATGCGCCTCTACTTCCTCCGCAAACTGAGGAGGGCCAGTGCCCCACCCCCATCATGCACTCCTTCTACCGGGGCATCATTGAAAGCGTCATCACTGGCTGCATCACTGTGTGGTACAGAGCCTGTACTGCCTCCTGCAGAAGGATTCTGCAACGCATAGTGAAAACAGCCAGCAAGATCATTGGTACCCTTCTGCCGTCCCTTATGGACATCTTCAACACCCGCCTCACCCGCAGAGCCATGAGCATTGCTAATGACACCTCCTACCCCTCTCACTCCCACTTCAGACTTCTGCCTATAGGGAGAAGGTATCTTGAGTCTTCAGGCCCACTCCACCATCCACCAGGCTGTGAGGATGCTGAACACTGTTCACTACCTCTGCCCCTGGACCGTAACCCACCACAGAACATAAAAAGACTACCCCTACTGTTGCACAAACTCAGTACATTCCCCCTTTTTGTTATATTACATGTAAATCTGCTGCTGTTGGTCATTTGCACTATTGTCCATGTACATTTCATAAGCTATTATGCATCTCATCACCAACGCCCCTGGTGATGCTGACCACCTGATAGTCTTCTTGTTATTTGCACTACTGTCACTTTTTGCACATGGTTTTGAGTTTCTTCATAGCCTATTAGGTATATGTACCATTTAGTTTATCCTTATTACTTGAATTCAGTTTTCATATTCTGTGTTTATTCTACTTTTACTCTATTTTAGTTTCTTAAATACTATGGGCATTCAACATTAGGTGAGAGAGAAACAGTATTTCGATTTTTCTTTATGTCCTGCACGTATAGTGAATTGACGGTAAAAATCTTTGATCTTGATCTTTAACCAGACTTTATGTCCTTTCTTGAGGAGGGATTTTTTTCTTGCAACCCTGTCATACAAGTCAGACTTGTGGAGCACTTGTGATATTGTCGCATACACAAAATGACCACTCTTTGCCATGAAGTCCTGCAAGTCCTTCAAAGCTGTCGGCCTCTTGGTAGCCTCTCTGACCACTTCTGATTCTTTTCTATACCCACTGTATATTCAGAACCTCCACTGTTTACCTTTGTTGACAGCTCCTCGTAGAATTCACTTCACAGCAGTATTTCATATTACTTACAAGAGTAGAAAACACTAACTTGCATCACAATGGTTACTTTAATATTCTGGTGTAAAATGGCTCCTGTGGGACTCTTCATTGTGACCAGTCCACACACATGCCCATCTCACTGTGCAAATGTCTAGGCGCTTGAGATATTAATGATTTTTTTCCATCATGTTTTATCATCAGGGAGCTGTCAGAATTTTGCATCTTGAGGACTGCAAACACACAGCTCAAGTCATGAAGAACCAGAAACCTTATTTCTATAAAAGTTCCATAAAATGCAGTAAAAACTAAAATCAGTCATTTAATTTCCTTGAACTTTTATTTAACTGACAAAAGTACAAAAATATTTTCAGTGTTTTCACTGATTGACTTTATGGCATTTTGTAAATATAAACAAATTTAGAGTTTAATGCCTGTAACATACTCAAAGTTGGGACAGTAGCTAAATAAACCTGAATGTTTTGTAGACTATTCCAGTAACACTGTTTTGGAAGCTTCCAGAATTAGGCTAACTGGTAACAGGTGAGGGTATCATGACTGGGTATAAAGGGAGCATCCACCAAAGTCTTTACCAACAAGGACGGGTCATGGCTCACAAGTTGTGCCCAACTTCATGAGACAGTTATCAATCAGCTCAAAAAGAATATTTCTCAGTGCAAGATTATTGTCAGTGTACACAGAAGCGTTCTGTTCAATTCAGATTCAGTGAATCTGGGGACATCTCAGCTACACTTGACCTGCCTACAGGAAGAGGAGAATCAGACAACGGCGACCATGAAGTCTTGTCTGTAGCAATAATATAAATAGAATAAAACTGCAACAGTTTTTATTCTCAGTTCCCAAAGATTTAATAGTGTCATTAAGAGAAAAACTCAGTCAGTTAAATAAAAGCCCAGGTGGATTAACAGGTGACAGATTTTAGTTGTTTTTTTTTTGTTTTTTTTTTTGTCCATTTTGGGAAATTTTCCAACTTTTATGGAAATGGCCTTAGTATGCTCAGAGACGAGAAGAACATGGAGTCGAGAGACCAATGGTCTGACCCCCTCAGAGTCCTGAGAGTCGGCCTGGGGTCACATGAGGATACACATGGATCAACAGATGAACCGTGGTGGGACAGCCTCCCTGAGAAATCCCTGGAAAACTGTGTGAAAAGAACTACCGTAGGAGATGGCCCTGTTTTAAAGGGTGGTCCCAACAAATATAGATTTGATGTTATTTTTCTGTTGACTGCTTTGTATAAAGTTAATCAATAAAAACTGTTCATGCAGTTTTTCTGACTGCCAGTCTCTTTACACTCTAATCGTACAACCACTTCATGTTTCAACTGTTATTTGCTATTGTTTTAAGTACTGCGGTTTTCACTTCGTCTTGACTCGTAGCCGCTGGACCGACTTGCCTGCACGGTTGTGCAAGCAGAGGCCGAGGGTCACTGAGCGGGTGTGGGTGCATGCGGTGCTGAAACCTAAGTGGGTGAGAACAGAATGGTGC